TTCAAGACATAGTCACAGGCAAAGATTCCATGACAGAAATGCCAAAAGCATTGCAACAAGCAAAAATTGACAAATGGGATCTAATTAAACTGAAGAGTTTCTGCATACATAAAATGGGACAAAATGTTTGCAATCTATCCAACTAAGGTCTAATATGCAGAGTATGCAAGAATTTAAACAAATTTACAAGAAAAAAAAAACATTAAAAAATGGGCAAAGGACATGAATAGACACATCTTAAAAGAAGACATCCATGCAGCCAACAAACATGAAAAAAAGTTCAACATCACTGATTATTAGAGAAATGCAAATCAAAAGCACAATGAAATACCATCTCACACCCATCAGAGTGGCTATTATTAAAAAGTCAGAAAAACAACGGATGCTGGCCAGATTGCAGAGAAAGAGGAATGCTTTTACACTGCTGGGAGTGCCAATTAATCTAACCATTATGGAAGACATTGGGGAAGACAAGTCTTCAAGGACCTAGGGGCAGAAATACCATTTGACCCAACAATCTTATTACTGAGTATATACTCAAAGGAATATAACCCATTCTATATAAAGAAAGATACATGCATGTGTATATTCATTGCTGTACTATTCACAATAGCAAAGGCATAGAATCAACCTAAATGCCCATCAATGATAGACTGGATAAAGAAAGTGTAGTACACATTTACCGCAGAATAACATGCAGCTATAAATAGGAACAAGATCATCTCCTTTGCAGGCACATGGATGGAGTTAGAAGTCATTATCCTCAGCAAACCAATGCAGTAACAGAAAACCAAACAGTACATGTTCTCACTTATAAGTGTCAGCTGAATGATGAGAATACATGGACACATCGAGGGGAACAGCACACACTGGGACCTTGTGGAGGTTGAGGTGGGGGGAGTAAGAGCATCAGGAAGAATAGCTAATGGACACTGGGCTTAATAGCTAGGTGATGGAATGATCTGTGCAGCAAACCACCATGGCACATGTTCACCTATATAACATTACCTGCACATCCTGCACATGTGCCCCAGAATTTAAAATAAAAGTTGAAGGAAAAAACCCAGAAGTCTAGCTACCTGAAGTGCTTTGATGGTTTGTAAAGTACTATTTTACTTAAAAATATTTTGTATCTTATAACCCATGGTTTTATTTTATAAAAGTACTACCACTAACATAGTAGTTTTTTGTGTTTCTTTTTTTGTTTGTTTGTTTTGAGAGAGAGAGAGGGAGTCACTCTGTCACCCATGCTGGAGTGCAGTGGTACGATCTTGGCTCACTGCAATCTCCACCTACCGGGTTCAAGAGATTCTCCTGCCACAGCTTCCCAAGTAGCTGGGACTACAGGAGAGCACAACCATGTCCATCTAATTTTGTATTTTTAGTAGAGATAGAGTTTCACTTGACGTGAAATGTGGCCAGTCTGGTCTCGAACTCCTGATCTCAAATAATCCACCCATCTCAGCCTCCCAAAGTGCTGGGATTACAGGCATGAGCCACCACTCCTGGCCAGTAGTAATATTTCTTTTAGAGCCTTTGTTTTTTCCAATTATTATCGAAATTATTGATTATTAATATGTTTTCTAACATTTTTCTCACAGACTTTGATTATACTTGATTACTAGTGAGGCAGAGCAAATGTTCTGATTTTTCAATGGTATGTGTGTGGGCTGGTGGGGATGAAGTGCGGAAAACATGGTTAGAAGAGGTTCCTGTTAACAAAGATCCTTCCCCCACTTTCTTTATTTTTTATAAACAGAAAATGAGTTTTATTTCATAAGTGTTTTGGCCCATTAATTGGCTATAGAATTATTACAGCTACTAAATGTAGGATTGATGGAAATCTGTAAATCCTCTTATACCACTTATCACAGTATGTAGCATGTGGTAGAGATTCACTACATAGGTTGAATTCATAAGTGGAAATACATTGATCTATTTAGAGATTAGGTCTCTGAATCTGTATACCCTTCTTATCAAGAGGGTCCTTTGGTTGAGAAATATGTATTGGCGTGGTTCATGAGAAGAAGCTTTAATGTACAAATTATATGTGCTGTGGTGCCCAGTTAACATCATAGAGATTTATTTAGTACGAGCTATGCCCAAAGAACTGAGCTAGAGAGACAGAGATTACCCTGAGAGTTTCTAAAAGCCCTGGGAAGGGGACAAAGAGAGTCCAAGTGTTACATAACTAGATGGTTATATGGCACAGTTCTTGACTGAGGATACAAAGGAAACTTTCCCTCCAAATCAACTCCTAAGTGCTCAAGAATGCTTAGACCTTGAAAAGATGGGAGGGAGGTGAGGGATGGGAAATTATTAATGGGTACAATATATACTATTTGGGTGATTATTACACTAAAAGCCCAGGCTTCATTACTACACAATGTATCCTTGAAGCAAAATTGCACTTCATTACCTAAACACAAATTTAAAAATTAATGCATAGACCTACTTCTCCCCATTTTTCCTGGAAGTTTACATATTACTTTCTTATAACAATTTCACTTTCTTATAACAATTTCCCATTGTTCAAACCTGTAAAATACTAAGGTGCCTTCGACCCTATCTTCTCACTGCCCTCTGTTCCCTTTCAATCCTAAGATGGAAAGGAAGACCCTACTGTTGGAAACACATCTCAGTAATAGGCAGAGAGTGGGATTTTTATTCTGGGACATACTGTTTTGTGGCTGCCATATTGAAAAGTACCAGTTAAATATGATGCTTTAAGAGGTTTATTCCTGTGTTGGACAACCTATTAGGGAGTTGGGATGTTGCAAAATAAATTCCTATATTTCAGAGTTTTTAAAAGCAGCTGCAAGGATTTCATTTTCAGATGAGGAAACATTTGCATTTTAGCCCAGCAGCTAAAATGAGTGCTTAGTGAATACGAAGGCTGTAACAGAAGGCCTCGAGGGCACTACCCCCTACCATTGAACTCTGAGAGTAAAGTTCTGTATTCCCCTTCAACCCTTTTTCCATATAGGCAAGAGAAGGAATCATCTAAATTGCATCAGTCACCTTTTTAAAAGTATATTGACTTTAGAAGTAACTTGGCATTTGCTGTTTGTAGATGGGAATACAAATCAAAATCAAGTGCTATGTTCTATTGCTGTGTTTCTGACCCATTGGTTTTTATCAAGGGTTTTTACCAGGTTTTCCAGCTTCCTTACCAGGCAGGAATCCAGGTTTCTCCTTTATGCCTTGGACTGGTAAAATCAGAGAGCGCCTCCATAAGGGCCCCTTGCCAATCCTCCAGGTATCTACAGTTGCTTGGAGATCTGAGACTCTCTCTTTCCTCACAGGGAAAGGTTATTCCAACCCCATGGACTGCTGGCCAGTCACTTCCCACTCCTGTCTTCTTAAAAGCAAGGTCCCCAAATAACAACTACTCATGCTGCACCCCCTTCCTTACCTTTGAAAGGACGTGAGGATCAGATGAAAACATCTGAAAAGCAACTCTCACTGCTGTCTGAGGAAGTGGAAGTATGAAGAGGGATCTAAGAATTTACGTGAACTCCATTTAACTTCACTGTGGATGGTGGTAGTATTACTTAGACACACTGCTGGTGCTGGGCTTCTGTGTCGACCATTTTTCTGTTGGTTTGTAGATTCTCTCCCTGCACAGAGTCTAATGGATATCCAGAGGAAGTACATTATGAACCAGAGTCACTCCTAAAAGCAGCTTTACTGTCAATGACCAGTCATGTTCTTAAAATGTGTTCCAGCAGTACAGTTTTGCTCAAAAAGAAAACTTTTTTCAGCTCCATGAAAAAGGATTCACCATGTTACCAAACCTGATGTTTTCTTTGCTAAAGTGAAACATATAAATACAAACTTGGGCCCATGGTTTATTGTAATTCCAAAGTTTGTCCTTATTGTGAATCTAAACTTTGGAGAACTTTAATATTCATTATCTCTAACTTTCTGATGTTCAAGAAAACTGAAGTCCTACAGGTTAGCTAATCATTTCAACCTGACTTGGTTAGTGCAAACTCAAGTACTTGGAACCCGGTTGTCAATCTCAGCTCATTGTTTTGTCTTCCCCACTACATTGCCTTTCTTAAAAGGTTATCTTCTTCCACCTAGCACCTCAGTAATCTGTGGCTCTCTTTGTGAAGTATCCTTTATCCATCACTCGAAAGAATTAAATGGAACAACTTAGAGTAAGTAATCCAAAGCCCAGGTGAAAGCTGTGAGTCATCAGATCCCACAGTGTGAGCAAGGAAGAAGACAGGATCTCCCCTTGCTGACCCGTTATTCCCTCCCAGGATTTTCTGAAGACTAATCAAGAAAGCAAGTGATTTGATAAAGTATTGATGCCTTTTATCAGCTGCTGTAGGTCTTGTCAGTGCGACTGCAGTGCTTTTAGCCTTTTCATTTGTCCCATCTATTTGAAGTGCATGTACTTAAAATTTCCAACAAAATCATGATAACATAGACTCTCTCCATTAATTAAAGTGTGCTAACAAGCATACAAATTGCTAAGTCACTCTGGGAGGCTGTCAGTGCTGGGTGTTCTTATACATTCAGCACTGGAAACATGTCCTTCCAGTAGTACCACAGCCAGAAATACAAAGAGGGATTGCAAAGGACAAGATCAATATTGGCCTCATGGCATTTTGTCTTTCTCAGGGAAAGGAAGAACATGGAGACAACAGTTGCAATACAAGGTGGAGGAATCAACACCTCTTGATTTAAAAAAAAAAAAAAAAAAAAAAAAAGTTGTATAAAAAAGGAATTCCTAAAGGAGCAGGATAGAATTTAGCACAGAAAGAAGGTGGTGGTATCTCTATTTCCATTTAAGTGTTGTTCCCAGGCAGATACAAGTACTTCTAAAAGGCATAGATTCAAGAAATAAAAGCATATTTTGAGTCATAGTTACCAAATGAAGCTGCAGCTCACCGTGATCCTTGGGATGAAGACTGTGACCCCAAGCAGTTACAAAGGATTCTGGTCTGGAATTTATCAACAGCTTTTTTTGTTTGTTCTCTTAACAGGTAAAAAATGCAGCTGCCAATGTACTCAGGGAAACATGGCTAATTTACAAAAATACAAAGCTAGTAAAAAAGATAGATCATGCGAAAGTAAGAAAACATCAACGAAAATTCTTGCAAGCTATTCATCAGTAAGTATCATTTTTCATTTTTATCCTGTTTTTGTGTCCTTGGCTTTCAATTTTTGCACTTGGTTGTTCTTGTTTCATAAGGGATGAAAAAAGAAAACATTGTCATGTTTGTTCTCAGAAGATGTTATCTGGCAATTTAATCATTCCACAGTGAGATCCTGAGAATAACCTCAGTTTCTTTAATGATTAAAAATCACTTAGTACTAGAATAGTTATTAATTAAAATGTCTTCTCAGTTTCTATTTAGAATCAATAATTTCTGCTAAAATTGTATTTCTTAATTTAACCTATTCAGATAGTTTGCTCTAGGATGTTTTTAGCTTGTATCTAGTGCAAAATCTTGAACAATATTAATATTACATAATGTACTACAAATGTATTTGGATTTTTTAACACACCTTCTAACATATGTATATGATTATAGTGCATATAACTGATTTAATACTTGAATTTTAAATTAGTTTTTAATCAGAATTTTGGCTATATGTTCTTTATAGAGTTTCTAGTTTGTATAGACCTTTCACTCTTTTATCATTATTTTGGCTTTATCTAGACCACCATTATTGTTTAAGTCCTTCCTGCCATTTCATTGTTACATAATTAGCATAGACTTTTAAAGTAACACTCTATATCTAGTAAGATGCACTGATAATATAGAAGCACAGGGTCTTTCTCCTCCAGGCTGGCAGCATCCTTACTGTAAGTATTATTCATGTGGGTATCAATTGTGTTGCCATGCAGACTTACTCTTAATACCATCTCTGTATGGAGAAGAGCAGACATAGTCAGATTTCTTGCTCAGAAAAGTGGCTTTTCTTTTGAAAACTACCAGTGTAATAATGGAGAGGTGGGTACATACAAGATGCTTTGGCTATCCAGTGAGATTTGTCTCTCAGAGCCAACTAGTGTAACAGACAAGAAAACTCAGAGGCTGCAATTTTATTTTGCATGTTCAGGTAATTCATAGGTAATATGATACCACTAACATTCTGTACGAAATTACTAAGCCTTCATCTTCTACCCTAGGATACTAAACCTGTCCATTCAACTGCCCTGCTTAAATAGATATCACTGAAAATGCAGAAGATATCTATAATCATGGACAGATTCATACTTCCATAGAATTTAAAACTCAAGTATCCTGAGATCTATAGTAGAGGGAGGCTCTGCACGTATGGTAGAGTGTCTGGCCTTCATTGCTGCTCACTCATGCTCTCTCCCCAGCTTTACTAACACACTTTTCCTAAGATGGTGATGCCATTTCCTCTTAGCTCTGTGGCTTGACACACCACTATGCTTTTTCTCCCTTTGTAAGGAAAACACAGGCTTGAGTTGCAGATAATACTCTTAAAATACGGAAAACCACAAAAAGAAACATTATATGCCATCTGGCTCACAAAAGGGAGCTTGCTCCCAAGGCCTCACAGTTACCCTTATAACCCAGAACCACCACCTAGGAGCACTTGCCTAGACATCTTGATTCCTTGAAGTTTAGATTAAAGAGAATGAGAACCCTCCCTGCCTCACCACCCAGAGATGCTGAGCTTTCGCCTCTGTGTTCCTCATCCTGTTTTCCTGTCAAACAGGCGTCTTCCCCAAGGGACTTACCTCGCACAACTCTCCTATTAGAGTGTTCTTCCTCTACTAAAACCACACTACACAGTAACCCTGACATTCATACAGGAGGTCCAGAGCCCATACCATGATGGAAATCATTTTTTGTACTTTTAATATTTTGACATTAACCTATATTTAGTGTTTTTAAAAGAAACCTTACCTTAGCGCATGTGAGAAGATACGTACATCCAGGGTGGAAGTGTGGGAAATGACACAGCAGTGAGCAGGTGCGGTCAATGTGTTGGGCAGCCACACATCCCATGGCCTCCAGGATCTTATCTGGGTCTTTTCCTGTCAGTCTAACCTATCAAATGGATAATTACATGTGACTTAACCTTTGATAAATTTTCATATAACAACAAATCCAAAAAATGCTGTGATAGTTTTTGTAGCATGGTTCTGTAGCCACGTGCAGTGGTGGTATGTATTACATCTTGTAATATAAGACTCTTCTGGACTATATGTTCAGAATACATTCACATTCAAAAGCCTAGGGGAGAATTTAGGGATTTTTACTGTAAAATGCTTTTAACTTTGCTGTAGGTTATTACATTTTTACATTAAAACATTAGAAAAAAGTATTTGGGGAAGCTGACATTAAAAACTGTCCCTAAGCAAGTCACAAATGCACCCTACAAGGCTTGTCAGTCTTTTCTTAAGGGTGGTACTGTGGAGTTACTTCCATGGGGTCTCTTAGCATATTGTGTTTGGATAGAGTGACAGAAAGCCACTTGTGATTTTTCTACTTCTGTCAGACATTTCTTATTCTGTTTCTTCTGTAGCAATGTGTACTTCTAAAGTAGATAAGCTTCAGGCAACTCAGAAATGCTCTGAATTGTTTTATAAATTCATCTGGGGGTTATTAGGTTTCCTTTGAGGTGGGGGACATTTATACTTTGTAAATGTGTAACTGAGTATGTTTATTCATACAAACTGTGTTTGGCTAGATCATTCTAATCATGTATACTTGTCTTTCACTTTAGCTTAGTGTTGGAAGTTAGGGAGTCATAAGGGAAGCACACAGGGCTCGATTCTTAAGGTCAAGGCTTCCATTGCCCACTGTGCAGATACAGTGAGACCCTCAGCCTTATCTGTCAGCACTGGGTGCAATCATACCTTACTAGCTGAAGAAAAATGTTAAAATTCATTGGATAGATCACTCCTGGCCTCTCCTACTCTCTGATTTGTCCTGAGTGCTTTCTCAGCAGCTCTCTGCTTCTACCAGCCCCTGCTATCTCAACTCTGTTTCTCTTTTCCAAACTTCATAGCCTCTCTACCAGAAACATGACCTCTCCACTCTCTGTTGGATGCTGAACTCTGCAGATCCATGCCCTCTTTTCAGTAATTATTTGTCTTTTTAGACTGTCACTTAGTGCCATGAAGTGTTCTCTTTCTCTAACTTTTAACCCTTTTTCTGGTAGCAACTTTACCTTTAAAGTTTATCATTCTTTTATCTCAACTATGGACCAATATGAATTTGTTTCAGAGCCAAGAAATCCAATCTGCTTGATTTGTATAACATGAGAGTTGGATTACCTGCCTTTCAGAAGCCTGAGGCTTCTGAGTTGTCCGAATTTGGAAAATATGTACCTTTCCCCAAAAAAATTATAATGCCATTGTTTCAAATATTGTTCTTGTCACAATTTCACATTCATATTAGGCAAAAATCGTTCTTGTTGTTTACTTGAACATCAAGGATCAAGAGGCCACGATGACTTTTTGCATGCTCTTCCTTCTGAACTCTTATTCAGGAGGAAGCTGAGTGCTTTCAGATGGGAAAGTATAGTAGCAATGAAGAAGGATAATTGAATAGTGTGTCTCTTTGGTCAATGTCAAAATCCTGCAGAATCGTAACAGGATCTTCCAGCCAATGAATCGAGCCCCCTGTGCACAGCTGAACACCACATTGTGTTATTTTGTTCCAGAATATTTTACAGTTTCTTTTCTTTTGTTTTGTCTTTTTATTTCAACAAAATGAAAATAGAGCTCGGAAGTAAGTTGTGTGAGCCGCTCCTTTCAACATTTGCAGAATTTTCTACTGGCTGCATGCACCCAGCAGATTCTTTGTGAATTTTAGTAGTCTGATTGCTGCTATGGAAATGTGATCCAAAATCATGATATTTTCCTGTGATAAGTGAAGTTCACAAGGAAGAAATCAACATATGTTTCTTATTCTTCTTTTTTGGGGAAAAAAGTGTAATACACATCTGCATGTTACCTTTTATTCTGGCAGCTGCAGCTTAAGCAGGCTTTTTCTGTCAGCTCTCCTACATTACAGGCAGTGTAAGAAGCAAACAACAAGATGAAATGATTCAAGTTTCGGAAGCTAAAGAAATTCCAGTCAAATAGGGCTACTCCATGTCAGCTTTCCAGATTAGGAGAAAATAAAATGGGCAAAATTCTACTGTCAGACATAGTATAGTAATCCAGGAAAAGTAAATTAGGCCCCATTGTTTATAAGATGAGGTACCCACTTAAGAAACTGCCACTGGTCCTTCTAACCTAACTTGTAGAATTCAGGACTTTCTCTGTACTCACTACTTGCCGGAGGCATCTGGACCAGAGCCCAAACTTCAGTTGTTTCTGTGCCCCTGATACTATGACTTACTTAAATTTGAAAATGAAATGTTGAACAAATTTGTATCACAAATGGATTTTAAAAACATTACAAAGAAAGGTAAAGGTAATCATCAATTGGCAATTGAAATACTGTCATTGAATTCTAGTCATAGGCTGTTGTTTGCAGAAAGTTCTGAGCTGAGATTCTGCTTTTTTGAAAAAAAAAAAAAAAGGCAGGTGTTAGAAGATAAAGACAGATTAGGACCAGCCTAAGATGTTTTTCTTACAGTAATGAATAATTAATTAGAAGAGAACTAAAAGGATTAACTGTTTTCCATTTTAGGTATCACTTAAAGTCATCAAGAACACCTCTGATGGTATGAATCTAGCAGTGCAGAAACATTGTTTTAATCTAACACACTTCATTTCATATGTGAGGAAACTAAAGTCCAGTTAGAGTCAGTGAGGATGGAATTTATTGTTGTACACTGCTCTTTCTTCAGTACAGTTCTGTGTAATGACCCACAGATTTGTAAGTCTTCTTTTTAGGGGGTGTAGGGTGGGGGCAGTGGCCTGTTTTTCAAAGGCACACATCAAAAATTGTAATTGTATTAATTACAGAGAAATCTTTCTCAATAATATATTGGATCTAAATATATGCTTATAAATTTATTTTAGACTAGGACATATTCCCTCTCTGTAATAGCATTAAAAAGGAGCCAATTAACTTTGTTCCAGCGTTCTAATAAACATATAGTCACAATGACATAACCTTAAACCGTTTTAGATTGTTGAAGATCATGTTGTAGGTAGGTGTCAGCTAAACTTACTGGCAGAAGGCACTACGTCTTCACTGTAGAGCAGATTTAGTGACATATTGGATATCCTAGTTTCAGAACAAAATCCCTGAACATTATGAACATATTACAGAAATCTCCCTGGCAGTAAAATCTTGCCCTGTGAGTTTTTATTCCTTCTATATAATTACCTTTCATTTTAATTGAAAAAGAATAAAAAGAATTCTTTCTAACATTAAAACTATATAAAATGACTTGTCATCAAAGCAAAAATAAGATTGGCATTACTTTTTTCTTTTTCTTCTTTTTTTCGTAAAATAGTTTAGAGGAATCTACTTCTCTTTTGGAAAAAAAGTTTTTATTTCTTAGCTTAAGGAACATTAAACCACCTTTCTTTTATTGGAAAATCTTTCTGGTACATAGTAAACAAACACTGAATAAGTATTTGTTGAAAAATAATATAGTAAGTAGAGTTAAAGACTACCAGAGTTCTTATCAAAAAGTGTTTTTCAACTACCATTTTTTGACTCTTAATTGACTCTTCATCAGGTACATACAATTATATTTAAAAGTAGCTAAACATAATCTTACCAGAGATTCCATCTGCCAGATACTATAATTGTCCTCTGACTTTTATCTACACTGAAAATTAAAGGAAATTTTCCCTAGGAAATGGTCTGGCCTCTCTTCAGATTTAATGGCAGTTCAAGATAAAAGTCAAATGAAATACAATGAAGAATAAGATAATTATGTGTTTTGTGTTATCTTGCTGCTGGTTGAATAAAAGTTTTTTTTGTTGTTATTAAGAATCTCACTTATCACTGTGTTTTCATCAGGTTCAAATACCTAACCCAATCCATTTTGGACTAAACAGGGCTAATACCTGTATCTAGTCACGTAGGCATAGGAAGGTGCTCATTGCTCCAACATTGATGAAATTCCAGTTGCTTTGCATATTTCTTCCTATGTCTATTTGTCATGATACTGGGGCTTTAATGAATGTTTTGGCTTTTTCTCATGTGGTTAAATCCTTATGAGTCCTTCTGAATTCAATTTTACCTGATAAATAGCTGTCCTATGGACATCTCATCTCTTGCTCTCTCTCCTTTCTTTTTTGCGGTGTTGGGGAAGCATGCTTCTCATTGTACCAGACACATAACCAGTTTGGACTTACCCCAAATATTCAAGGCATTATCCATGCAGTTATTTGCTCTTGTCAATTTTGTGCATGCTCTTTTGAAGGCATAAGATTGCCATAGAAAGAAGGGAACCTTTCTGATACAAGATTCTATCTTTTAGATTAAGAAGTGTAAAAATGGAGCAGAGGAAGCTGAATGACCAAGCAAACACCTTGGTGGACCTGGCAAAGGTAAGGCTGAGGTACTTAGGCCTCATGGTTGCATCTGTTGAAATCAACCACTGCACAGTCACTCATAATTAATGTTTCAAGAGGATCCCAACCCAAATCTAATTAATAAATCAAACCAACAAAGCACCCTAAAATGATGTTCCAACTTAAAAGAATGTTTCCAAAACTCTCACTTAATGTGCTCTTTCCCTATTACATTATTCAACACCCATTCTGAAAATGTTCCTAGTCACAGTGATTTGGAAGTACCATAAGAAGTCTGAGTGGAACAGGAGACAATATCTGTCGGATTTTTATTTGCATGTAAATCTCATCCCAGTGAGAGCAGAACTGCATCCTAGGTGTGATTGTGATACTCAGGAATGAGTAAGACTCATAATTAAATTTTGTTTTATGTATTTTAAGCAAACTCAAAAGAATGTGAAGTTGAAATAAAAATAAAAGATACCAAAAATTACATCCTAAAATGAAAGTTATCACCCAAAATGATCACTTTTTAATGGTTCTTTCTCCATTTCATTATTTTAAAATCATACCACTTTTTGAAAAGTACATCAATGGTCCCCAGATTATTCCACCATATTTATAAGATTCAGCTGACTGATTTTTGGTTGTCCATCCCCACATAAAACCCATTCTCAAAACATAAATATTTGTCAACAATCAAAACATTGCATTTCCCGGGGTGAATTCTAAAAGCGATATTAGGATAGTGTTTACATGATTGTTCAGCCTTTTACACAAATTCTTTGAAAGGTGTAACTCTCAGTTGCCTCTTACAAATTGTTTTTTCATTTGATAAATCAGCCATGACTTTACTAAAACCTCAAGTATAAGTCATACAAATTATACATACTTGGCCTAGTCTCATTAAATAATGCATCTAAATTATATTGATTGTAATATATATCAATAACACATACTAGAGGTTGAAGATAAGTACTTAATGACTTACCCTAGGAGAGCATATATCATGCATATCAACTGGACAGCACACAGGTATAAGACATGAAGACATCTTTAATTAAAACATGCATAAATGTGGCTGTCACTTTTACATATGAACAAAAGATGGGGCAAGCTCCATCACTCCTAGGTTAAATGATTCTTAATGGGTATTTTTATGAAAAAGGGAAGAGGCCACATTGAAATATGATGTGGAGATGTAATTTCACTTCAAGAGTACCACTGTGGGCAAGATGCTGTTTATTTCTTTATTACTATACTTATGACCACAGGAAGGTACATACCATAAAAGCTCAGTATTTTCTTTAATGAATGGATGCTGTTCACATGTTCTTAAGACTATGTAGTAAAATTAAGTGTATGCACTCTGGTCAAACAGACAAGGTGCCTGTGTTCTAAGTGATAATTCTCTTATCAGTTCATTTATCATCTTTAAAAGATTGTTAAGCAGAAGAAGAACATATGATACGAAAGGAAATGGAAGTAGGAGGAGGCACGGTTTAAACAAAGGGATCTCAGACTTGGGAAAGCCTGCACTAAACTAAGGTTAACACACTTTCCTTCCCTCTTCACCAGCCTTTTCCCTTTCTGAGCTGATCAATCCTCTCTCCTTGACTCTTGGCTACTCAGGAAATATACCTAGGAGTCAGAGTTATGGATACCTTGTGATCAAGACAGTCAGTTTCAAGGTTCACTAGGAATCCAAAAACATTTTCCTATTTCAACCACTTAGCTTTGATTAAGCCAGCAGGTCAGAGCCATGGCCAGCAAGATAGACTGTTAACCTTAGTATCTCCCTCAACTAATATTTTCTCAATGGTTACCTGAAAAAATTCCATTTGATCCCGTGGAGAGAGGCCTGTAATTTGAAACAAAGGACAACAAACAATATTTAGGAACTTATTGCTTTAAATTACAAAATTATCAAAGCAGTTAATCCTAAACTTCATTTATATTCTACCCTCAACATTTCTGCCACATAACAATACCATTTGTATTATTTATTGTTTTTTCACTCTGCCCGTTTTTTAAAAAAAAATTACCCCTGCCCTAATTAATACATGTTGCAAAATGAATTTGATGTGCTTACCTTTATGACAACCTTTAAAATACATATATAAATATTAAATTGAACCTTTTTTGTCTCTCCTGATACCACCTACAATCATTGGGCATACCACTAGTAGCAGTACCTACTTCACATTTTCTGCAACTGAACCAAAGATTTTATATTTCTATTATAAATCTTAGCATTGAACAGATACAGTGAATTGGCTTTGCAAGGTGAGCTGTTCAGTTAGCTGACACCCCTGTTATACTGAATGCCACCAGCAAGAGACCAGAGCTAAATCTCAGAGAGGTGGACAGTTTGGGTCCAGGGCAAGTGTAATTAACCTTCTTCTCAATCCTGTTTTTCAGACCCAGAATATCATGTATGACATGATTTCTGACTTAAACGAAAGGAGTGAAGACTTCGAGAAGAGGATTGTTACCCTGGAAACAAAATTAGAGACTTTGATTGGTAGCATCCACGCCCTCCCTGGGCTCATAAGTCAGACCATCAGGCAGCAGCAAAGAGATTTCATTGAGGCTCAGATGGAGGGCTACGACAAGCATGTCACTTACAACGCTGAACGGTCCCGGTCCTCGTCCAGGAGGCGGCGGTCCTCCTCCACAGCGCCACCAACTTCATCAGAGAGTAGCTAGAAGAGAATAAGTTAACCACAAAATAAGACTTTTTGCCATCATATGGTCAATATTTTAGCTTTTATTGTAAAGCCCCTATGGTTCTAATCAGCGTTATCCGGGTTCTGATGTCAGAATCCTGGGAACCTGAACACTAAGTTTTAGGCCAAAATGAGTGAAAACTCTTTTTTGTTTCTTTCAGATGCACAGGGAATGCACCTATTATTGCTATATAGATTGTTCCTCCTGTAATTTCACTAACTTTTTATTCATGCACTTCAAACTTTACTACTACATTATATGATATATAATAAAAAAAGTTAATTTCTGCACATACTTGTTTGGTCACTTGACATTTCTAATGCTTCACTTCTCACATTATTTTCATGGTAAAACGGCTGATATCGTCTGATGCACATTGATAATTTAGATAGCCAAAAGTTTCGCTGGTTGGAGAAAAAGACTTTCAATTCCTCTATACCCTATTCCTGAGATTTTACTTTTGTTAGGACTTCTTTGCATGAATCATCTGAACCAGCATAGCTTACTCTTCTTTTTTTTGGTTTACAGTGTCTCATATTTAATTCAATTTTTTTTCAAAATGTAGAAAGTCAGTCTTTATCAGAACATACACAAGGAGCAGAGATGCTTTCAAGAATATTTTAATTCCCGGTGTACCAGCAAATTTACATGAACAAAGCATCTGAGTACACCACTGTCTGTGAACAGATGGTGCAGAATTTTAGTTCTCAACAAGTGATTTCATATCTTTCTATTTAATTATTATGAAGGGCCAAGCATGCACTTTAGTGTTTGGGGCCTATGTTTGCATACAACAGCATAGTGAACATACATAAGCAACAGCTAACATATCCCCTAGTAAGTGATCTCCTCTCGGTCTGTACTTACATATTTAACACAAGTAAATAGCATCTAGTAAATTTCACGTGTTTAGGACACTTGTTTCATGGATGGTTAAGGTCAGTTTGTGTGAAAGAGAAATGAGTGGTGATTGCTACAAACCCATCTGTTTGCGCGTTCGCTCTGAGAATCCACTGGGTTTAGAAGAACCATGTGTGAGAGAATAGCAATATGGAATTTCCTCATGTGTGTAATTCCCAAGAGTCTACAAGAAAAGTGATGGTGGTAGGGATACTGCATCCTAAAAATAAGGCTTCGTTTGGACAGCTCTTAAAGCAACTTGCTTGTATCAGCCTAACCTAAAAATACTCCTTCACTCTCTGGCAATCTGTTGCAGAAGGTTTTGTCCCCCCTCCACTTTATTTTATACCATACCCTTTGGTGTCAACTTACAACATTGCAAGTTGCTAGTATAGTATGTATTTTCTTCTTTAGCACAAACTAGAGTGATACATTTGATATACCCTACATAGTCCAATGAATAAAGTAACATTCTCCATAATTAATTCAAAAGCCAACCAAACATTTCAAGATCAAGGATATAAAACTATGATTGCTTTAGATTGCATGAGAACCACTTGCCATTTACTATCTATCCAAAAGGGCTGAAACTAAAGCCCATTCATATAGCTTATATACGCCTGTATTGGATGAGAATGAGGCCTGGAAATTTTTTTTTAATAGTAAGTGAAAGAAAAAAACAGTGGTTATAGAAATATACTGCTATGTTAAATGAATATCAAGATCCTACTTCATCAAGATTTCTACTTCATGGATGCAATTACAATCTCATTGTATGTACTTTGTTTTACAAGAATATATTAAGCATTTGGCATAAAGACTGGATGTAAAAAGGAGAGAAATTTTGGAAAAAAATTATTAATTTGTTCTTTCAATGTATGTAGTTAATTCTTGTATCTTCCACCTCTGTGTGACTAACGGGCAGAGTGGCAGCTCAAGTTTGTCATCTTACAGATCAATTAGCACTATCACCCCAGAACACTAGGGGACTAGGAAAAGAATAATATATTGCTTCTCTTGTCAAAGATGAGAGAGAGAAGAGAGAGTAAGTTTTAATTTATATTTTATTACCTTGCATTTATTGTCTTCGTTTTAACTTTGCTCTTCTAGAATAAGTTATTCTCTTATCCTTCAAAATCAATTTGATGTTTCCTGTTCTATGCAGAGTATGTGAAGACTGGTAAATATTAAATCTTTTATTTCTATTTTTTTGAAATACCAAATAACCACAGTTTTAAAAGGAGGAGGGGACCCATCTGTTACATAGACATTCAGGCCTGTGATTTGCTGAATCAACCTCGCTTTAGATATAGCTACCAAGTCTCCTCCCAAGTGGCTTTGAACATTAAACAGAGTCCTCTGGGGGCTGCTTAGATGACTGCTCTTCTGTAGTGAGAAATGCCCTTCTCTTAATTGCATTTTGTTTTTCAGAATTCCTAATAATAATTGAATTCTGTTGGTTTCATCTCAGCCTGCCACACCCTGGTCTGTTTCTCTACAGCCAGCACAAGCCATTTGGCTTCTGCAAATCATTTTAAATTACAGTGGAACCACCTTCCTCAACAATTGTCTTCATTTCCTCCACTTACACTCAATGTCAAGGTTAGTTACTAGAAAGAAGAGCCTGTGCTCTTACAAATGAGGATGAGCCAAATGCATAACCGGTAGTAAATTTTGGAACTTCATGTGCTTTCTCCCTAGTTTCTCCTCCCTTTCTACTTGTTTTCCAAGAATCTCTCCATCAAAACATGTGCAATAATCAAGTAATTATGCTCCAAAACAGAATTTGGGAATTCTGATAAAAAGCTAGGGGTTAGGGTTAATACGAACATTGAGCAATGGATTCAATAATACAGTCCTATTTTTGAACTTTGCTCAGTTTTGAGAAACAGCATGGCAAAGTGAAAGGAGTCAGACGTGAGTAGTGGATCTTAGCCCTACCACTCACTAGCTCTGTGTACTTAACATCACAGCTCACAGAGACTTTTGTTTTCTAATTTGTGAAATGAGCCTAAAAAAGACACAGATATCCAGGGGTCTGCAAAGCCTGGCATCTATTTCATCCAATGATAGTCGTTATTTGTATTACTACTTTCAGCAAAAGGCAGCAAATATTAAACAACTCTGTTATCTGCTTATCTTCTAACTTTTAGCATCTGACTGTATATATATTCTCTGTCTAGTTCATTCTTGAAGCAAGTTATTGGCTCCAGATTAGCACATATATTTCCTTATCCTATCACTGTTTTTTTTTGTTGTTGTTGTTTAATATAACCTAGAATATCAATATGTATGTATCCTTTGTGTTTGTGATTCTGACATACTCCCTTTTTGCTTCTTGGACTTCCATAAAATTTGTTCCATTTATGAATATGTTCCAGAAAAGTGGAGGGTGTTGGTTAGGGGAGTGCTGGGAAAGTCACCTGAGAGTTGGACCAAAGGTCTCATTTACTTTTCCAAACCCATCCCTGTGGGCCCTGAGCCTCCACCCACTTCTTCTAGTCTCTGTAACACACCCTGATGCCATTTGTGTGTCTTAACTCGGGGTCCCCAACCCTGGGGGCCTGGCCAGTTAGGAACTAGACTGCACAGCAAGAGGTGAGCGGTGGCACAGTGAGTGAAGCTTCATCTGCATTTGCAACCACTCCTCATGGCTTGCGTTACCCCTGAGCTCTGCCTCCTGTCAGATCAGTGGCAGCATTAGATTCTCATGGAAGTGCAAACCCTATTGTGAATGCACATGTGAGGGATCTAGGTTGTGTGCTTCTTATGAGAATTAATGCCTGATGGTCTGTCACTGTCTTCTATCAGCCTCAGATGGGACATTCTCATTGCAGGAAAATGAGTTCAGAGCTCCTACTGATTCTACATTCTGGTGAGTTGTATAATTATGTAATTATATATTACAACGTAATAATCAGAATAAAGTACACAATAAATGTAATGCACTTGAATCATCCCAAAACCAACCCCCAACAACCCCCAGTCCATGAAAAAACTACCTTCCACAAAACTGGTCCCTGGTGCCAAAGAGGTGGGGACCACTATTTTAACTGAATTGTCAAGAAATCCACTAAGAAAAAAATTATCAACTGGTTGTTCAAGAAATAAAATCTTAGGAGATGCTGAGAGACCTGGAAGACCCTGATCTCCATCTCACTGTCACTACTGCTAGAGCCCCTGATGAACATGATCTTTTTCCGTTTGTTAGGCTAGGGTAAGAAAAAATGCTGCTTTCTAGTTCTTCTGTTAAATATCTCACCAGTCAGTGAACCCAGAAATAGAAAACATGGATTATAGTTTCCCAGATATTTTTAGAAATACTTAGAATTTGTTCCCCCCCCCAGATAATGCCTTTTCCTCCAGTTATGGTTTCCTCTGCCCCAAGGGCCATGCTCCCTAGGTGGTAGTATGGAGGAGGATGCTACCCAAATGATTCGAAATTTCTGTGGCTAGGCTCAGTGGTATGTGCCTATAGTCTCAGCTACTGAGGAGAGTGAGGCAAGAGGATAGCTTGAGTCTGGGAGTTTGAGATCAGCCTAAGAAATATAGCACCCCGTCACAGAAAGCAAAAGCAAGAGAGTAAGACAGAAGGAAGAAAGGAGAGAAGGAGGAAAAGAAAAGGAGGAAGAGAGGAGAAAGGAAAGGACTGAAGAAAGGGAGGGAGGGAGGGAGACACGTGGGCTACAGTGTCAGGAGTACTATATTAGACACTTACTTAGCCTTAGGTCCAGATAAAAGTTGCGTCTTAGGGAGGCTGTGGCCAGCAGATGGTGGCCAAGCAGAAAGCAGAACAGAGAACACTTTGTTCAAGTTTTTCTACTCTGTTAATAATGTCACTTTCCTGCTCCCTCCTAGTAAAGCAACTCTCTCTTGTCTCTCTCCATAACCCAATTCTTTTCATCTCTGTTGGAGACAGGTCTCATTTAATCCTTTAATTCCTTCATCAACCCTATGTTTATTTCCATTTTACAGATGAAAATACTGAAGGGCGTATCTAGTTATTTCTAAAATGAGTTAAAGGAAGTAAGTTCCTTTCTCAAAAACTTAAATTAGCAATTTCCCTGAGATCTCCTCTCGTGGCCACCACCCCCAAATAAAGAAACCTATAAACAGGATAATAGTTCTTGTTTGTCCAGCCTGTCACTTATAAAAATATTTGAAGGCAGTGAAAACACAGTGTCCTCTGCTAAGGTTAAAAAAATATGCAAAAATATTTGCAGACTCTGAACCGGTTCAGCTCAAAGGAAGAGTACGCCTGCACAGTGGGAGATTATGTAGGTCTGAGTCATAAAAGAAAGAATCCAACAGATTACAGAACACGCTTGGTGTTGCACCCACATTTTGAGATGATGCCACCTGTTACCTCTAATGAAGCTGAGTCAGGCA